GAGAGCTAGTAGCGAATGGCCCCAGACTTGGACATAATGTAATTGACCCTCTTCGCTGGTAGCGAGCGAGGTAGCGAGGGGTTCTCTAGGCGAAGCCCCAGCGAGTAAGTAGCGAAGCCTTACAATAGCTTTTGTTTGCCTTCGCGAGCTAGTTCGCTAGGCGAATAGGTAGCTAGTGTTCTCTAGGAGAGCAAGCTAACGAGTGTGGCAGCATTTTCATTTCCTTGTGTTTCCATCCAATGTTGATTGTTTGGTTCGATGGTGTTCAATCCTTATCGGAAATGAATAGTTTGTGTATTGTTGTGATATGTTATGTTGTGGGTAGCCGTATGGTGTGAATCCTAGATTGTGCAATATTATGAAATGTGGCCTTTTGGCATATATAATGCATTGTTTAAATTGATTAAAATACATGATGATTTATGATGAGGTTCGTTGCCGTTTGGCACGATATTGTGAATGCATATTGATTGTATGCAATATTGTGAATAATGCATGATAACATATTGTGAATATGTGTGCATTGCTTGATAAATGTGATGATGTTGAAAGTATGAATACTTTGAGATGATGTGTGAGTGTGCAATCATGTTATAATTCTTGTGTGATGAATTATTTGAGTATTCATGGGATTAAGATGCGAGAACGGTCTTAAGTGCATATGATTGTTGATTGCATACGCATCATTTGGTCAAGAGGCAATGCTTGCTAGTTTCTTGGAGACTAGTGACTTGTCTCAAACCTAGAAGGGTGGGTTTGAAAGCTTAGAGGACGGGCTTTTGTTTGTTATCGGTCTAGGGGATGGACCCGGTTTAAATGTAAAAACCGAAAAATGATAACAAGTGTTGGTACCACATGGCATGAGTTGCATTGAGTTGCAATGAGTCACATGGCATAGAGATAAATGTTGTGTGAATGTATGCATATGTGTATGTTATATGGATTGATGAGAATTATGGATGTGTGCATGATAAATATGCTTGGTGATTATTCCATATTTGTCTATATATATATTGTGATATATATGATGAGTTATGATGAACTGTGGTGAGAATGCGGAATATGTATATTCTCTGATTGTGTGTGTGTGTGTGTGTATATATATATATATATATATATATATATATATATATATATATATATATATATATATATATATATATATATATATATATATATATATATATATATATATATATATATATATATATATATATATATATATATATTATATGCATTGATTATTATGATAATATTTCTCACCCTTCTGCTGTTTTATAATGCTCTATGAGGCATTGCAGATTAGGTTTGCTTGAGGTCTTTTGTGAAGTATAGCTTCATTCTTTTGGTCGGTTAGCTCTGATATGTAGCACCGGGTAGTTAGGATTGTATAGCATTCTTTTGTGATACATTTGTATATATATCTGCTGACAAATGTTTATGTAAACATGAATGATGTGGTGAATCAAACTGGATGATATATATTTATATGATTACATGTTTAAAATGATTCAATGTTTAGATTTTCCGCTTTTAATTCTAAATATTGAGATGTGAGTGTAAGAACTAAATTACTAGGTTGAAAGCTACCCCACTGTTGCATGTCTTCTATAGAGCAGGTGTTGTATGTTTCAATTTAGCGTATGATGTGACATACCTCTTTTATACCATGTGTTAATATTACTCTGATGAAATTTTAATATGTGTTTAAATGATTTATTTGATTTCTTGGGGGTTTAGAAGGGAGTGTTACACCCCACACTATTTTCCTCCCACTTTCATTCTACTTGTGCATCTTATGTTTGCATTTTCATTTGCTTGTGCTTTCTTATTCTTCTTCTTTGGTTCTTCTTTGCCATGTTCCCCATAAGTTCTCTATCCTTTTGAGGTTATGATAGACTTTAATTTCAAACCATGCATGATAACATTAGGTAGTTCCCTTTTGAATCTCAATCTTAAGACCACCATTGCATGACAACTTTAGGTTTGTGTTAGTCCCCCTTTAGTTTGTCCCTTCTTTTCTCATCTTCATACAATCTTAACACACTTAATAAAGATAATAGATGTTGTGCCATGAGCCTTGTACTTGAGAAATGGTGATTGAGGGGCCACCTCTCAATTGCCTAGAGTGTTTAGTATACGTCGTTAGAACGATATGCGACGCATTTGATCCTAGGTTTTAGACTTTAGTACAACATACATTATAAACACTCAAATTCAAAACACTTCTTCTTTAAAAAACACAAAAACACTTCAAACCTTTTTCATCCTTCGGGATCTTATTCAAGAAAATCTTTTCAAAAAAAGAGTGTTGTTAACTCTTAGTTCTATCGCAAAAGGTAACGCCTAAGTCTCCCATGCTCGAGCTGCATACACCAACTGCTAGAACTGGTTGTTAACCCTACTCGGGCCTAAAAAACTTTTGAACCAAATCGGTGTTCTTTTTAGCCCGAACTACGTTTGCTCTGATCTTTCATACCAGATGAAAGTACGTAGGCACAAGACGCGACGTCTTGGCGAGCAACCTTCCCCCTTCACCCGTAGTTAGTCGAACTACGTTGACTCTGACTTTCCCATTGCACGAGGGAGTACGTAGGCACATAGCGGCGATGCTCTGCCGAGTCACTTCTCCTTTATTTTTCTTTTGTCCCTTGACCTTTAGTATAGATAGATTGATCACCCTTTTAGATAGACAACAATGCGTGGATTCCGTCGAGTACGACGGACGTGAGGGGTGCTAATACCTTCCCCTTGCGTAACCGACTCCCGAATCCAGACTTGGTTGCGACGACGTCGTCTTTCCCTTTTTCGCCAAGTTTTTCCGATCGTTTCCTTTCCCTCTCTTTGGGATAAATAACGAAAGGTGGCGACTCTTCTGTTTTCCGCAGGGTGTTTTTTGCAGTTGCGACAGGGGTCTTTGAGTTAAACCATATTTTATTGAGTTTTTGTTATGTTGATTTCCTTGTGGTGAAAATAAAACTTTGGATTTTTTCTTTTTGATTTCTGTTGCCTTTTGAGTAATATTTTTGAGTAATTTTGGGAAAAACCCGTTGTTTACGTAGCATTGACTATATTTGAATTATTGAGAAATGTGCGCCCTTTTGAGATAATTTTATTGCGCTCAATATTTTACTCTGATAAATATGATTGATTTGCCATTATATTTGTGGGGTAGAAAAGGGTGTTACATAGCGTATATCCGATCTTTTTAGTAACGGTTCGTTTAGACGATCGTAGTTCCTCAGCAGTTCCCGCTTAAAATTTTTAAAAACTAATTTATCATATACGCCGACTCTGTATAAGAATTAGTTATCTATCCAACCCCATTTATAGATCATTGTCGTCGTCTAACAAGTGGTATCAAGAGCACTGGTTCATTCCGTGCTTCACATATAACTTCTTAGAATATGGTAAACGAACCAAAAGGGCCTTATAATAGAGCATTAGTTTTTAACGGTGAGAACTATAGTTACTGGAAATATTGTATGCGCGTGCATATCAATTCCATTGATAGAAAGATATGGAACGTTATATTGAACAGTCCCAAGAAAATTACCATGACCGATGAAAATAACATTGTTGTTCCTAAGCCTGAAGCACAATGGAATGATGAAGATGAGAAAAAGTCCAACTATGATTGGAAGGCTAGAAGTATTCTGATCTCCTCCTTGGGAGTTGATGAGTATTATAGAGTTTCACATTGTATGACTGTAAAAGTTATGTGAGACGCATTGCAAGTTGCCTATGAGGGAACTAATGATGTCAAGTTAGCTCGAATCAACACTTTGACTCAAGAGTTTGAAATTTACTCCCTCCGTCCCATATTATAAACAAATTTTACTTTTTAGATATATTGAATAGTTAATGTATCTGGTCTATATATAGACAAGACACATTAATTATTCAATGTATCTAAAAAGTAAAATTTGCTTATAATATAGGAAAGAGTAGTATCTATTTAGGATCAATAACATATAATTAAATGTGAATAGTTCTCAAAGTATTAAGTTAATTCACACACTTAAAATGATTTTACAAACTTAATCTATTTTTAAACATATGTTAAAATCATTTTTGGATATTCTAATTAATTAGGAACCTTCTTAATCAATTAGATTCTAAATCTAGTTTAAATAAATTTTAATTAATTAAGTCTAATTGATTAGTGTCACATGTTAATCTATTACTCTCTCCATTCTAAATTATAAGACGTATTGAATATTTCACACGAATTAAGAAATTTAATTATTATTTTATGGGAAAGACAAATTAGGTATCACTTTACATTAATGGGCCTCATAATTACACACAAGAGAGAAATTAAAAAAATTGAATGAATAAATAATAATAAATACTTGAGGATATATTGGAAAAAATGTCATTAATATTGTATTGAAAATGTAATGTGACTTATAATTCAGGACAAATTCTTTTAACAAAGTGACTTATAATTTGGGATCCTCTGTCCATGAATTATTTTATTTTTAATTAAAAAAATGTCTCCTATCTAAAAGAGTCTTTGTGCACAATTTCAAAACACAAAAATCTAATTTCATATTCCTATCTGCTTCTCACTCTCTTAATTATTTTTATTCACTATTTATTTATATTTTAGTATGAAGAGAGAAAGACTTAAAGTTAGAGTTGTTTAATTAAAAAATCATATTTTTCACACAAAATCAAATTACTTACAAACAATCAATAAAAGAAATAATAAACTGCATTTGCAAATAATAATTCATCATATGTTTATATAAACATTTATTTAAGCAAAAAATATAATGACATTTGAAAATATAATTTCAATTTAAAAATATTTTAAGGAGTATTTGTTTCAAAGTTAAAAAATTAACTATGAATCATGATCGCTAATAAGGAACACAGTTTCACCTTATCTTATCCACATCCTACACGACAAACTTCGATAATCTCCCAACATCATCATCTTCAACATGTCATTGTTTAACAACAACTGCTATTTCCCATAGCTCCTATCTCCAATGGCAGACATTCAAACCGTTATCAGAAGAGTCACCTCTGTAACCAACCACCTCATTTCCACTCCAACACCACCACAACCTCAGCTAATTTCTTCATGCCACACTTCAAGTTCCACAAATAATCATAGCTACCAACGAGTTCATGGAAATGTTCCCTCGAATGATGTTGTCTGGAAGGTTGCTTCTGATCATGAAGGGAAGGCTTTCACTGACATTGTATATGAGAAATCCGTTGGTGAAGGAATAGCAAAGGTTATTTCGCAGTTTCTCAAATGTTGTTCTTTTTTATTCATTTTTTGTTAGTAATTATTGAATTGAGTTGCTTGAAGTATTACTAAGGCGTGTTTGGTATCTATTAGAATAATCACTTGTTAGATTGTTTAAAAGACTTTAGTGTTGCGTTGCTGATTAAGATCGAAGATGGTCGGGATGTGAATTAACTACAATTTGTTCATTAATGTAAAACGGTGAATAACGGGATCGGTACCTGCTGATACCGTTTTGTTGCGGCCATTTTCGTGGCCGCGACCGTATTTTAATACCCTATTAAAAACTACTTATGTAATGTCCATAAGCAATTTAGAAATAAATCGACATTTGTATAATTTAGTGTTTACCCTCTTTGTTTTCTCTCTTCAATTTTGACAATGTTGGATTTAATGTCGCAGATTAGTATTAATAGGCCGGAGAGAAGGAATGCTTTTCGACCTCATACCGTTAAGGAGCTTATTCGCGCTTTCAATGATGCTAGAGACGATCCTTCTGTTGGTGTCATCATTCTCACTGGAAAGGTACATACATGTTCAGCTACATACATTTGATTGCAGTTTTGTCCTGGTTCAAACGGTTAAAATCGGTTAATATGACCGATAACAAGTCTTGTTGGTTCGATGTCCGGTTCAATTTTCAAAATATTGCTATTAACATATATTTGTGATTTTTCCTTGCTGTTTGTTACTGAGAAACCACTGGTTCTTAGTATAGAATTGATTGATTTTAACGATTTATTGACGATGTAGGGAACCGATGCATTTTGTAGTGGTGGTGACCAAGCGTTGAGGACCGAAGATGGTTATTCTGATTATGAAAATATTGGTCGCCTTAATGTGTTAGACTTGCAGGTATATATCAATTCATTCTTAATGTTTCTTTTACAGTGAATGGAAGTGATCTATACTCAAATGATCTCTTTGCGTGCTTTTTGCGGCATTCTTTGATCTTCATACTTTTCCTCTTTTACAGGTGCAGATTCGCCGCCTTCCGAAACCAGTGATTGCAATGGTACGCTCCTCACTTCTTTTGATATTCTTGTTATATTCAGATTTTTTGTTTACATTAAAACAGGTTGCAGGGTATGCTGTTGGAGGAGGACATGTACTACATATGGTTTGTGATCTAACCATCGCAGCAGATAACGCCGTCTTTGGCCAAACTGGTCCTAAGGTGCATCAATCATTTAAAATTTGAACTAATCAAACACATAACCTTTCCTTTGTAACATCTTGTCTTTGTATTGTATCTACAAAGGTTGGAAGTTTCGATGCTGGTTACGGAAGTTCTATCATGTCGCGTTTGGTGAGGACTAAACTAATAGTACTATTTTGTTTGCTTTAACATTTCAATGTTGTCAATCCACAAGATAGAAATCATGATTCTTAATACAGGTAGGTCCAAAAAAAGCGCGCGAAATGTGGTTTCTTGCAAGGTTTTACTCTGCTGTTGAAGCAGAGAAAATGGGCCTTATCAACACTGTTGTACCAGTAAGCTCTTGGAATTCTCAGCACTGTAATTGCAAGTTCTAACATGAAGCTCATAGTTATGGTTAATATTATGTTTTGATTCGGTATAGCTAGAGAATTTAGAGAAAGAAACAATCAAATGGTGTAGGGAGATACTCAGAAACAGCCCGACTGCAATTCGGGTTCTCAAGGCATCTATTAATGCGGTGGATGATGGGCACGCTGGACTTCAGGTACATTGTTATTCATGATATATATATATATATATATATATATATATTTTAAATCTTAGTATCTGACATGCGAATAATACAATCTTTGATTATAGGAAATGGGTGGAAATGCAACACTGATATTTTATGGTACTGAGGAAGCAAATGAAGGAAAAACTGCGTATATGGAGCGTAGACGCCCGGATTTTTCGAAGTTTAATCGAAGACCATAAATTCCAATGTATTTATAAATTATTTATGTCAATTATTGTTATCAATTTGAGGTTTGGTTTCTAGTCTGTCCAATATTTTTTTAGGAAAAATAAACTGATCTGATTCTTGTTAGCTCTTGTAATAATATTTTGTCCTTATGAATTAAAGGATTCATAGCTCAGGTCCATGTATCATTAGGTAGAAATTCATCATAAAACCTATTAAATTCTAATATATGTATGTAGTAAGCAAAAAATGAAAGAACAAAAAATGATTCTTATGTATGTAGTAAGCAAAAAATGAAAGAACAAAAAATGATTCTTGTTAGCTCTTGTAATAATATTTTGTCCTTATGAATTAAAGGATTCATAGCTCAGGTCCATGTATCATTAGGTAGAAATTCATCATAAAACCTATTAAATTCTAATATATGTATGTAGTAAGCAAAAAATGAAAGAACAAAAAATGATTCTTATGTATGTAGTAAGCAAAAAATGAAAGAACAAAAAATGATTCTTGTTAGCTCTTGTAATAATATTTTGTCCTTATGAATTAAAGGATTCATAGCTCAGGTCCATGTATCATTAGGTAGAAATTCATCATAAAACCTATTAAATTCTAATATATGTATGTAGTAAGCAAAAAATGAAAGAACAAAAAATGATCACCCTCTTTTTATAGGCCCTTGAGAATGCATGATCATGGTATCAGAGCCTGGTTAACCATGTGCTTGATCAGAGATTCGAACTCAAGACCACTTGATGAAACAGGACCTGACACCATGAAGGCAACCAACAGGCCAAAGAGTTCAGCGTGATATTTGTTAGAATTTAAGTAAATTAAATCATCTGAAATAACGTAACGATCTTACACATTTTCTTTTTTAAAAATCTCCCTGAAAAGATATATGAATGTTAAATTGAGTAAAAAGACGAGTATAAAATTGAACGCTTATAATTATTTGAAGAACTATCTAATAATGTATGATGTGATAAATGTCCTCAAACAAAAACCCCAATAATTTGCAATTCTCTCTAAATTAAATTATAACCAAAAATACATGTTTTTTAGGAAAACATATATTTATTATTCAGATTGATAGTTTAGAGTTTTTTTTCTTCATGTAAAGCAATATCTTTACTAATCCACCCTTAATTATAATGCCATATCTTTCCAATATTTAAATAATTAATGTAATCATATTTTCAAATAATAATAATAATAATAATAATAATAATAATAATAATAATAATAATAGGGTTAAATACACAACACCTCTACAATATAGGCTAGCTTCGATTTACTCTCTATGATATATTTTTTTGGATTCCACCTGTAATATTTTTTTTAGTATTACCCCCTAAGCGTGCAATTTGAATATTGAATCTGAGAGTAAATCAAAAATATATATTACAAGGGGTAACTTTGACGATTAGGGGTAAAAGACGCAGAATTTTAACATTTCAAGAGGGGATTCAATTGTTTTTACAGGGGTAAATCGAAATCGCCTATATTATAGAGGATGTTGTATATTTAACTCATAATGATAATAATAATATAAGGTTACATTGATTTACTCTTCATAGCCCAAGGTATAAATACTCTTCCACGTCACTTTCAGATACATTTTCTAATTTCCACTTTTCAATACTCTTCTTAGGAGTATTGTACTGAATTAGGCGTCAGAGTGCCTTGTAGGTACAGCTGCCTTTTTTCACCGCTGCATTAGAAATTCGCCAAGACGCCATTAAAGATTAGGATTGTTGATTCAAGATTCTTCATCAACGAACTACATCTTATTCTGGTTCACGAACGGAACAATGGTGCCGTTTGTGGAAAGAAATTTCTGATTCCTATGTTTTCGTCAAGAGTAACTCATTCTCGATCTAAAGAAAGATCTCTATCAGAAACAAATCGAGTGTAAGCAGTAACTTCTATGAAGATGATCGAGAAACATCATTTAGTTTCAGATCCAATCCTTCACCCATCGTCATTGATGGACGCATTTCGAAGCAATGCCACGTCTAGAGCTTCGCAATGTCCCGATTGTTTCTTGATAGATACTAATCCAATAATTCAGTAAGTTGATCGGTCAGAATTAGAATTTGTAGATCAAGATAAGGTCGACGAAATTGCAAACTTTAAACTACCTCTAGTTCTTGCGGTCGTTATCGCCAGTCAAACATTGACATGACTTCTGGTAGATGACATAAGCTCTTGCAACGTCCTTTAAGACTCGTTGGAACCACTAGGTCTTAGGAAAACATATTTGAATCCGTTTGGCAGAGAAGTTCTGTAAGCTTCAACGATTCAATTACTCATCATTGTGAAACAATAGATTTAACACTATTGATTGAAGAAGGAACGCATCAAAGAAGAGTGACTCTCACATTCCTCGTGATACATTGCAGAAGCACCTTTAGAGATATTCTTGGAAGGTCCTTCTTAGCAAGGTTAGATTCAATCGCTTCTACATTTCACATGAAGATAACCTACCATGACGAAGAAGGAATGTCGATTACCATCGGGGAAGATTTACAAAAAGCAAGGAGAATTAGGAAAATAATTCAATATTTTGGCCTTAGCATTAAGAAGCAATGATGAATTTGACCCCGGATGCATGCGAATACGAAACAGACTCTGGACGATGAGTTTGAGCCCGTGCAACTTAGAGAGAATACGACCATGTTGGTTAAGACCGGGTCGAGGCTCTACTCCGAGGTAAGGTTCATGTTAATTGAATACCTTCAAGCAAACACTGACATCTTTGCCATCTTTCCATACGAGATGCCTGATATCGACCCCTAAGTAGCTTGCCATCAATTGAACCTAAACTTCAATTCCTGATATATGTCCCAACATTGGAGGAAACAATCCCCTGAGAAGGCCGAGGCTAACGAAAGCACAATTAAAGGCCTATTGGATTCCAAATTCGGGTTCTCAAGGTATTTATTAATTCGATAGATGATGGGTACGTTGGACTTCAGGTATATTACTATTCATGATTTTATTTTAAAATCTTGATATCCCGCCTTGCGACCGACTAGTCCAATCTTTGATTATAGGAAATGGGTGGAAATGCAACCTTGATATTTTATGGCACTGAAGAAGCAAATGAAGGAAAAAAAGTGTATATGAAATGCAGACACCCATATTTTCAAAGTTTAATTGAAGATCATAAATGCCAATGTATTTATAAATTATACATGTCAATTATTGTTATCAATTTGAGGTTTGGTGTTTTAGTCTGTCCAATATTTTTTAGGAACAATAAACTAATTTGATTTCTGTTAGCTCTTATAATATTATGCCCTTATTAATTTTCTCTTCATAGCTCAAGTTTATGTTTCATCAGGTGGAAATTCATTATAAAACTAGTATTATATATATATATATATATATATATATATATATATATATATATATATATATATATATATATATATATATATATATATATATATATATATATATATATATATATATATATATATATATATATATATATATATATATATATATATATATATATATATATATATATATATATATATATATATATATATATATATATAAGCACAAAAAATGATAATTATTTTCATGAGTTTTACGGAAAAAACAATCACTCTTTCATTGATGCAACCGTTTAATATTCCTGAGTGGAAGTGGGATAGAATTTCAATGGAATTTGTTGTAGGTTTGCCAAAGACCACAAGAAGAATGTATTTAATTTGGGTTATAGTAGATAGACCGACTAAGTCGGCGCATTTTATATCGATAAAAGATCAGCTACCTATTGCAGAAGTTAGTAGTGATCTACATAAGCGACACCGTAAAGTTGCACGGTATCTTGTCGAGCATTATTTTAGATAGGGATCCGAGGTTCACATCAAAGTTCTAAGGAAGTTTGCAAGAAGCCTTCAAAACCAAGTTGAGGTTGAGTTCTGCTTGCCATCCATAGGCGAACGGTCATACAGAAAGGACTATCCAATCTTTGGGAGATTTATTGAGAGCTTGTGATTTAGAGCAGAGAGGTAATTGAGATAGTTACTTGCTATCGATCGAGTTTACTTATAAGAACGATTTCCATTCTAGTATTGGAATGAAACTTTTGGAGGATTTGTGTGAAAAAAGGTGTAAGACACCTTTGTGTTGGTATGAAGCAGGTGAAAGTGTTGTGCTCGGACCAGAGATGGTTCAACAGACGATTGAGAATATTAAGATGATTCAAGAGAAGATGAAGGCATCACAGAGCAGTAAGAAGAGTTATCAAGATAAGTGGGGGAATGCAATTGAATTCCAAGAGGGAGATGATGTGTTCTTTAGAGTTACTCCGGTGACTGGTGTTGGTCGTGCTTTGAAGTCTAAAAAACTCATGCCTCGTTTTATTGGTTTGTGTTAGATTCTCTAGACAGTAGAGGAGGTTGCCTACAGAGTTTTCTTCTCGCCGTCTCTTTCAAATCTTCATGATATTTTTCATGTGTCTCAACTTCAGAAGTATATTCTTGACCTATCCCATGTGATTCAATTGGATGATGTGTAAGTGAGAAAGAACTTGAATATTGAGACATCACCCTTGCAGATGAAGGATCGAAAAGTGAAGCACTTGAGAGGAAAAGAGATCTCCTTGGTGAAGGTGGTGTGGGAAGGACCTGTTGGAGGAAGCGTGACGTGGAGTTAGAGGTCTATATAAGAGAGGGTTATCCAAAATTGTTTCTTTCAGGTAATTTTCGAGGGCGAAAATTCTATAAGTGAGAGAGAGAGTTGTAACACCCTGATTATTTTAAATATTTGTTTTAATTAAGTTTGATGTGTTTATGATTGATTTGGTTTAATTGGGCATTTTATGAGGATGATAGAAATTATTTATTTGTCTAATTATTTAAAATGGTAGAAAATAGGAGAAGTTAAGTTTATGTATGAATTATAGTTTTTTTAGAAGATAGGGAGATAGGTGTAATATTGGAGAAAGTGAGGGAATTAAAAGAATTATTTGGATTGGGGTAAAATAAAATAATAA